CGAGAGTTCATGCCACGAGCGCTCAGAATAATATATCTGTGAGAAAATGCGCTCGATCCAATCCTTAAGACAAGGAATGGCATTTGGGACTCGAGCAAGGGCTGCACCACAGCAAATACCGATGAGAAAAAGGGAGATAAAACATAAAATCGACATTTAAAAGAAAGTGATGCTCATGTGATACATTCCACTTCTCGGGGAATGGCCTGAACTTGACAGGGATCAAGTCTGCGGTCCTCACCCAGAAAAAATGTCACTGCTAGCCCCGATCCCGGTCCTCATCGATGCTTGAAAATGAGGCTTTGCTAGTCCGGTGTACAAACTTTATCAGTCCTCCCCCGGAAGATTTGGGGACTGTACAGATGGAGTAGATGATCAATCGTGAACAAGCAGGAGTCGATTTTATTCACAAAGAATCCCAGGAGGATTACGATCCTCCACAACGATAGGTGGATCTGACCGAGGCATACTTCATACCTCCTACAGAAGTCCAGAATAACTGGGTCCATAGGGGCCAGTGTGATGGGGTAAGTATAAACACTCAGATACCCCTCCACACGAGTAGTAATGTCGTCATCGGGCCCGGGGATTACTATGTCCTTATCCGCCCAACCGCAATCCTTACGAACCATTTGAAGGACGGCCTCGGTGATGGAGCAAATATACCTAGACACCGCCTCTTATCGGCCTTGTCCCGATGAGGTCTTTTCGACCTTAAAGTCGTTCGCGATCGAACACCCCCCGAGGACGAACATTATCAAGGGTGGCTCGGCTGTCGGTTCATCGATAGCCACGCACGGAGTGGACCTCTCAAGGTCAACCACATCGGGAGCGATCTCCTCGACTTCGGTGGTCGGCCGTGAATAAGAAGAAGCAACGTTTTGGGGAACAGTCTTGGAAGTCTTCGCCATTGTTATCTAGAAAAAAGTTTGAAGAAGTGAGATGGAAGATTGGGAGATGGAGGGTAAAATCTTGCTGAGAAAATCAAGCGTGCTGGTTTGGATAAAAGATAAATAAAACTTGCAATTTGCTGAAACATATTTAAGAACAAAGGTTAAAATATTGGGGTATGAAGAGAGGCAGTGATATCCTGAAGGTACGAAGGTAGAAGCTTGGTCAAAAAGTAAAAAATAAACGAAGGATGGGAGTATTTATAGAGGCTTCGCGTCGTTTCGTGTCCAGAGACAAACTGCCGATGGCCGACATGCATTTGAAGTCATTATGACGCGACTGACAGGATGTTTCGTATTCTTTATCGTTTCTACCACGGTGTATTGAAGAAGGAATCGAGGTGCTCATGTCGTTTCTCTTCATTTCCGTAAACTTACTCTCCGAAAAATGATGGGACTATCTGTATACGGGTGAAATCGAGCCCATGAGATGCCTCGGCTTTCGATTAAACAAACGGAGTAAGAGACGTGACAACAAGGAACCAGAATCGAGACAAGGAGCCCCTCGAGCCAGGGTCCAGGCAAAACACCCGGCCTCGGGAGTATCGGGGCCATGAGCCCGAGTTCGGTTCGAATCCCAAATGCCTCGGAGAGCACTACCAGGTAATCGAGCACGACCAATTAAAGGCCGTGATATCCGTGACCAGCCGAATATCACGGCTTGGATCTCGGCACGTATCGGCAGAGAACCGGTGAGTAGTTAAACAAAATATTTGTACCTTTTTATGAAATTTTACTTAGGATAAAACTCTCATACTATATAAATGGGGGCCTGATTATTCATTAACCACATTGTAACACACACATCATGGCAATATACTCTTATTTTCTCTATTATTCAAATCTCTTATTTTTTTCATTGAATCATCAGTAACGTGAGTCCGGGATAGAAGGCAGACATTTTATTAAGCTATTACTAAGTTCGAGATCACTCCTCTTGATTGGTTTAACAATTTATCACGTCCTTTATCTGTTTAATCAAACGCAATTTATTATTTTTATTGAATTAATCCATGAATCCTTAAAACCACTTACAAATTTAATTGTTATCCATTTTTTAGGGTAAACAGTCTCACTCCAATATTATAAACTATATAAGTAACAAAAAGTTCATTGAGTAACTTGTGAATTTCATATGAAGTCAAGTCTTGACCCAAGCTTGAATCAAAGAGCCAAACGCTGTACAAAATAGTTTTGCCTGAGAACCCTTATTCAACAAATAATTGAGTATTTGAGAACCCTATGCAACAAAGAATTGAGTATTTGAGAACCCTATGCAACAAGGAATGAGTATTATGGCAAGTAGGGGTGCTTATCGGGCAGATATTTACGCTAACGATTTGGCTTATCGGTTAATAAATATAATAATCCGCTAGCCAACCAATAAGACAACAGGGGAATTGGTATCGAATTAGCGATTATTGAAAAGTTTATCGGATTTGCGATTAAGCAAAAATTTGGAGTAAAGCATCACATTTGCTTTGTCTTTGTAATGATTCTGGATGAAGTAAATGAAACCCTTTGTATTGAAAACTGAACTAACTAAGTAACACTAGAAAATAGAAATTGAACCCCAATAAAGGCGCTCTTCAAAGCTGAACTAACTAAGACTAAAGTTTCTTGACTTTGCCTTGTCTTTGCAAATCGAATTCATTCAAAGCTCGAGTAGGTGTAGTATTTGGAAAACGAGATTATCAACCACCTTTAGCTTAAATTATATACTTATATATATGGAAATAGCAGACTAGCAATACTACTATGCCCCACCTAACTTAAATCCAATCATACATCAAGGCCTACATCTGTTACCAGATCATGGCGGCTTCCATATACCTTGGACCGACCAATAAATATTACTTCATATACATAAGGGTAAAAGTGTAAATATAAAATTTTTTAACGGGTTAACGATTTATCCAATAAGGAAGTTGAATAATCCGTCCCCAAATCGTTAAGCTGTTAATTATAAAATTTCAATCTGTTCACCAACCATTACCCAAATAACCCGATACCAATAAGCCAATAAGTTATTTTTGCGGTTCGGTTTTGAACAACCCTAATGGCAAGTCTCCAACCTTTCTTTTTTCCTTCTCTTTACTGCACTCACTAATTTGTTGGGTTTTATTTATTAAATAAAAAAGGCGAGAATGAAAAATGGTGAGAAAAGAAATGGAGGGAAATGAAATTTTGAATTGGTTCCTTTTACAAAGGAACTTTGTCCCTCATTAGATAGGAAGAGGAAAATTCTTATGCTTATATATAAAAGCACTTGCGGCATCGTCGTCGCTCGGCTTCGGCTTCGGTCAATTGATAGCAGTTAATTTTTTAACAGTCATTTGCGAATTTATAATTTGCGAACAAACAGAAATACAAAAATTTCTGCCGCATTGATACCTTATATGAATAGGTACCTTCGCACCTATTCAACCCAGACTGTTTGACTATAAATTCAGAGGCTTTACCTCATCTTTTCACTACTGAAAATCTGAAAAACTCTCCCCTCTCTCTTCTGCATTGATTTTCAAAGCAAAAAAGTAAGCATCAAGTATGATTTGCTTCGCCATTTGAGTTCGCCAAAATTCTGTGATTTGTAGTGCCGCAATCACAAAATAATTATTATGTTCAATCCTAGGAGGAATTAATCTGAAACCTTAGGCAACTATGAGGGGATTAAATTTCTTAATCACACACAAGAAACTTGTGTGCTCGAAATTTTTTTTGTTTCTGGTTTATTAAACTAACGACTTATGTTTTCTGTTTTTTGTTGAACACAGTTTACCAACATAATATTTTATACTAATTTTAGAATTATTATCGTAAAATAAGTACTCCATTTTAAATTTTTGATCCGTTTCTAAAATGCCTTTTGTATCACAGACTTTAAAATCTGCTTCTACAACTATTGTACTCGATTAGAATTTTGATTCATATTTGTTGTCATTATCTCATTGACTTAAATTTTCGGATCCACCTCTATTGTAAGTTTGTAACTGACCTCACTAGCATAAGATCTTGAATCCAACTCTGCTATATAATTAGATCATGACTTAAAATTTGAGATTTGTCTTTGTTACCAAAAGTCATTTATCGGATTGAAAGCGATGACTTAAGCCTCTTTCATCTTTTTATAAGGCGTTTAAAGTGAAATTTTGGAGGGTGATTCACACAAAATAGGATCTGCCAATTAACTTTTGACCTCGTTAAACTAATTGTACAAAAATATCATCCTTGGCGGATCGCCAGAAAAGTTGCCTTGCCAAAATTCATGAAGTTTAGTACAAAATATCTTGCAGGAGTGTTTTGATGGATGACTTTTTTGCTTCAAAATTCATCCAAATTGGTTCAAATCAAATCCAAAAGACTTTAAATTTGATACCTGACATTCTAATACCAATCCCAACAATTCCAATAGTTAGATTCAACTCAAACCTTCAAACTTGGTCGTTTGGACATAAGAATTTTTTATTTTTTTTTTCAAAAAAAATTCACTTTTTCCGAAATCGGCATTTGTTCATAATTTTTTAATTTTTATTTGAAAATGCATTTTGAAAATTTTCGAAAATTTGATTAACTCCAAAAAACTGTTTTTCAAAAATTTTCACTCACAAAACTTCAAAAACAACCCAAAATTATATATTCGTGTCCAAACACAACTCTAAATTTCAAATACCATTTTCGCTTTTGAAAAAGAATTTCCCCTGGAATTTTACAATTCTTACGTCCAAACGCCCACTTATTCTGTCTCCTTCAATACTAATGTTTTTCAGGTTTCTTCAACCAAATCAATCACAAAAAAACATTGGGTCTTCAGCTTTTTACCACACATATGAAGAAGACGGAATACAGTAATCTTATATTAGTCATTAGTGTACCGGTGTTGCAATGCTCAAATTAGAGAATACAGTAATCTTATATTCCCTTCTTTAGATTTCTGACTTTTTTTTTTGCTAAGAGAAAATAGAAAAAAGTCAAGAGCCGTGTTTCTTTAGGAACCATAGTTTCTTTGTATTTGTCATTAAATCCATTATTATCCATGAAATATTTTTTGTGGCCACAGAGGAATTCTCAGACATACCCCACACACAGACACACACTACTCCCATTTGTTCATTTCTCTATTGACTATTCCCACCATAAGCCATAGGTCCAATGGCCACCATATCCACCAAGTTAGCCACCGGCGTTCTCCACATCCCATCTCACCCCCACCCCCACCACCGTAAACCACCTTCTTTCCTCCCTACAGCCACCATTAACTTTGGTTCATTCACAGCCAACAGTAGTAGTAGTAGTAATAGTAGTTGTAGCAATGGTAAGGTGAACAGGCTAACATGCAAGGCTACAGAGGTTTCAGTGGCGGAGGGGTCATCGGCGTCGGGCGGAGGGGATAATGGGAAATTCAATTGGGTGCCAGTGGTTCCACTGTCAGCACTGCCAAAAGGAGAGAGACGTGTAATTATACAAGATGGTGAAACTATACTGTTGCTTTGGTATAAAGATGATGTTTTTGCTATTGAGAATCGTTCCCCTGCTGAAGGTGCTTATAGTGAAGGCCTCCTTAATGCCAAGCTAACACAGGTCCCCTTTCCTTTTTCTTCCCTTTTTTTCCTTTTATTAATTTTACTTTGTTCATTTCTAATTCTTAATTGTATTAATATATGTTTCCTTGCTCATGCTCTCTCAGTGCCATAATTAATCTCTTTGTTTGCTTAATTCACTTTTTTTGAAAATAAGATCTTGACATTTAAAAATGAGACGAAAAGCTAACTGCATAAATTAAGGCTAACTACATAACACATTTAATAATCTTGTTTAAAGATCTATTCCTGGAAGCCAAAGGAGACAAGAATTATGGGTTGGAAGGAGTAGTTGATTTCGATTTTAGTTTCTATTTGGATTGATCACATTTGGTTGCTCACTTTCAGTCTAGTCAAAGAAACATTGTGATTAAACAAACACCATTTCCTAAATGCTCCTCTTTTAATGCTTCGTTCGTGAAATTCTTAAGCTACTAAAGTTTTCTTGTGTAAGTTTCTTCCTCTGCCTTATCTTGTGATTATGGCCAATTCAAACACAACTTTGGGGATAGTTTAGCCATTTAGGTTTAGGAGGTTCCGTTTGTGCTACAGTCTGTGTGATGATTGGTGTACGGGTGCAAAATCAGTTGAGTCTGTATTCGGGAACTCAAGTTAGTGAGCTTGACCAAGACTAGCCGATGGCCCTTGTCATTTAGATTGATTGAGCTGGTTGGTGTTGCTTTCTTTATGTGAATGCTACAGGGGAAATGACAATTTCCTAGATGCCAATGGGGGTAGCTTTTGTCTTAGGAAAATAACTATTGCAAAACAAAGTGTAGAAAACACCAAATTTAGGCTCATTTGAACAATTATGCAGGGAATACTCTGTGCAAATTTTTAGTGTGGTCTTATTTGACGATTTTTAAGCGTCTAGTATCCATATTCTTCTTACCCTTGCTACTATCCCAATGTAGTAGTTCATTAGTGACTGAAAAAAGTCAAAAACTTTATCCAATGTGTTAAGAAAACATGTACGTTGTGCCTAGCTCAACCTCAAAAGACAGCTCATAAGGTAAGATTTGTCCTAGACCAGACTAAAGCCATACCTTTAACCATTATGAGCCTCTAACACTCTATGCATCCTAGGATGGACTCTGGTGCATGAATAGTATAACATGGGAACTAACATCAGGAATGGTCTAGCTCAAATATCATGTTAACAAAAATTGACCTTGAACACTATTTCAACCTCAAAAACCAGGCTTACCGGTGAAGATTTTCCAAAACCATATAAACAGACTACAACCCCATACCTTCAACCAATGTTGGACTCTAAGAGAATGCTAGTTGCCAGGGCTGATATATTTGTCATGGAAGTTATGGATCTTCTCTTCACAAGGTTGGATTGAGAGGCCAAGCACAAGTAACTGGAAATCTTGTTTACTTTTTAGGAATTGTTTTCGTTCATCATAGAGTCCTCTTCCAACAACTTTCAGTCAGTAAATCAAAATTTTGCACAGCAATCGGTTTGTGCATTACATGTGCATAGGCGTGTCTGCAAGTCAAGCTGTATTGGAGTACCTTTGAACATCTCCTTTCCTTTCTATCTGCCTAATGTAAACTGCAGAAGAAGCAGGAAATGATTTCATATTGTTATTAAGCACGTGAGCAGCCCATATGAATAAGTTAACTGATATGTAGATAATGCACGTAAGGGGCACATAGGAGCCTGTTGATTTATTTGTAAATAATGCCTTTGAGGGGGTACATTGGAATCTGTTAATTGATACTATGTAAATAATCACATGGCTAGTTTGTTAGGTTGCTAGAATGGTTGTTTTAACTGCCTTCTGAGCCAATTTGAAGGGCTGGAAACTTCTATAGAGCTTTCATTGGATTTAGGAAGTAGAATGGTATTTCCCTCTTCTCCCTCAATGCTATTATCTCTCTTTCCTTCGCTGTCAATTCGATTACATTCTCTGTGCAGTGACAATTCAGTTCCCTGTTCCTTAGGAGCACCATATCCGTAAAACTTTTGTTTGAGCTTGTATTACTCCTTAGGACTTTAAACATACAATTGATGCATGAGGGGATAATTTTTGACATATTACATTGTGAAAAAAAGTTAAAACTCTAAAGTACTCAAGGGTGTAGCCTAATGGTCAATAAAGTAGGTGGAGAACCATGAGCTCAGGTTCAAATCCCTGTCGAGGCAAAAACACTAGGTAATTTTTTCCTATTTGTCCAAACCTTGGTGGACAGAGTTACCCGTTACTTGTCTTAGTGGGAGGTTGCAGGTACCCCATGGAATTAGTAAGGTGTGCGAGAGCTAGCCGGAACGGTTATAAAAAAAGAAGTTAAACTCTGAAGGTCTGCTGGTAAAGGAAGTGGCTGTGTAAATGTCATGACATGACTAGCATTCTGTTCTGATAGAACTTTTCAGCATGAAAATATAAAATCTTATGAATTCTAGTAGAGTTTACAAATTTATGGCAATTTATGTGTCGCCGAAACTTACAAGTACAAATTGATTAGACAACAGATGAAATTAGATATTGTGAAAAGATGACAAACCATTAATTCATTTCATTTACGTAGAGCTAGCTTCTACTTGAACACTGAAATGCTCTGTTTTTGCATGATTATACAACTAGCCAGTAGCCAGGATGTCACCCTTACCAATTTTTGTGGTTATACTTTAACATATGTTACTAAATTAAGGTGCTACTAGAAAACACAAAAATGTTTGCTTATTCGAATTCACTGCAGCTGCATGAAACTTCCTTTTCATATTATGTTGGAATTCTTGTTATTCAATTATTTGATGTTAATCTAGATGTGTTTATTACTGAGTGCTAGCTGTTACTACAATAATGATGTTTCATCTTCACATAAATGGTGCATTTCTCCATGCTGACAATATGCGTATTCTTTCTGAATTTGATAATGTAAAAGCGCATAAAATCTCAAATCCTGCAGGATGGATGTATCGTGTGTCCAACAACAGATAGCACATTTTATCTGCAAAATGGAGCCATCAAAGAATGGTACCCCAATAATCCTGTGTTGAGAGTCCTTACTCCTGCCTTGAGAAATTTGTTTGTTTATCCTGTTAAAACAGACGATGAGAATATCTATATTAGCATGAGAGGAGGCGGAAAAGTTGACGCATCTGCAGAGATTGTTTTCAGCGGAAAGGCTCAACCTGGTGTCACAGCATCTGACGTCAATGTAGACGAGGTAATGCAACCAACCTTATCTTGCTTAGTTACAAACTCGTCCTACTGAGTAACTGCGATTCCGATCTGATTCTTCTTATTGGATATAGGTAAGAATGGTTATCGACGAGGGTCAAGAGGCCTTTGGATTCACTGGAAGGAATGAGCTGATAAATGGAAAAGCAGCAGTAATTGGTTTCCTATTGCTGTTGGATTTTGAACTCTTGACCGGTAAAGGTCTTCTCAAAGGAACAGGGTTCTTGGATTTCATTTACTCAGTTTCAGATGCTTTCAAATAAAACCATTCCGCTATATACTTACTCCCCCTCCCTCTTTTTCCCCTTTTCCTATTTTTCTGACAAATTTGCATTTGTTTAAATAAACAAAAACAAAGAATGTTGATCTTTTTATATGTTGTCCAATTATATGGATTAGTGAATTATAGACCATTGAATTCCAGCTGAAGAATGTACAAATCCTCCTATTTCGTCTAATATTAATATGTGCCTTTGAGTTGGAGCATTCTTTTATCCTTCTTCCTTACTTTGTTAAATGCAAGCAGAAATTGCTAAGTTTCACTAAGGATGGTACAGAATGAAGATACAATTTTTACTCTAATTGAAGGGTGAAAATGAAAAGAGAAAACTTAGGGAAATTGACTGATATATGGCATGTTGGAACTGCATAGTTAAGAATAAGGCGTTGAATTGCCATTTTATCATAAAATGTTAGTTTGAAGAAATTCTCCAGGGACAAAATGAAAAAGTTCGAAAGTACATTGAGAAGAAAACCCAGGTCAACTTATCTATACGACTTATATTATGTCTCTAAAAGGTAAATTTTGTGCACAATTTTTAATTGCAACTTGTTATAGCTGGTTAATTACAATGATCTTGTAAAACATAGTTATATGTTGAACTTTGATTGACGCGCAAATAGTAGAAGTTTCATCTGAGTTCATAGTGAAGTTAAAGAGAGACGGAAGCTTCTAGGTTTTCTGTTTTGCTATGTTACTCAGAATCCAAACTATATGTCTTTACAAATGTATTGTTCTCCATGTATAAGAAAAATTGGGCCGACTCACTAATTACACCACAAACTAAAATAAATACATTGTGGGCTTCTGGGCCCAATTGTAAAGAAAAGAAAATAGCCCAAGTGGCTAAGTAGTATCATTTCTATTATTTTCTTGTATCTCAACACCCCCGGCAAGTTGGAGGGTGAGATAACCCCCAACTTGCGAAGATGCAGATGATGAATAGGTCCCCCCAAAGGTTTAGTGAACATATCAGCAAACTGATTGGCACTGGAAGTGTGAAGTAGCTGAAGCAGACCCTCATTCAACTTGGTGCGAACAAAATGACAATCCAATTCAATGTGCTTGGTGCGCTCATGGAAGACAGAATTCTTAGCAATGTGGATGGCTGCCTGGTTATCACAAAATAAAGTAATAGGAGAAGAAAAAACAACACCAAAATCAGAAAGAAGCCGGCAAACCCAAATGATTTCAGCAGTGGCCTTACTCATAGACCTGTATTCAGCTTCTGTCGAAGACAAGGAAACCACAGATTGTTTCTTGGACTTTCAGTCGACTAGACATCCCCCTAATAAAATGCAAAGCCCATTGATGGACTTCCTACTGTCCGGACAAGATCCCCAATCACTATCACAATATACACTGAGAGAAAGATCAGGAGAATTATTATAGAAGATCCCAAAATCAAGAGTACCCTTGAGATACTTGAGCAAACGCAAAGCAGCCTGCATGTGAGGAAGACAAGGCCTCTGCATAAACTGACTTAAATGTTTCACTGCAAAGCAAATGCCAGGTCTTGTATGGGTTAAGAAATTGAGTTTACCCACTAAACACCTATAAGTCTCAGGATTGGGCAGGAGATCACCATGATCAGCCTGCAACTTGTCATGCATTTCAAGGGGGGAATCACTGAAGAACAATCATAGGAGTGGAACTCTTTGAGGAGATCATGCACAAACTTTTTCTGATGCAGCAACACCCCACCCTCAGAATACAACACTTCAATACCTAGAAAATAGTTAAGATGGCCTAAATCCTTAATTTTAAATTGATCATGGAGGAAGGTTTTCACAGTAGCAATCTCATACATATATGTCCCAGTGATGATGATATCATCAACGTATACCACTAAGAGTACCAAAGCATCACAAGAACCCTTAGTAAAAAGTGAATAGTCATTGAATGAGTGCTCATAGCCTCTAGAGGACAAAGATTGAGACAACTTGGTGTAAACACCTAATTTTTGACTATATTTAAAACTTTTACACTTTCTACTATATAAATATTTTTAGAAAATTAGTATATATTTTTTTTAGCTTTGTTATATTTGTTTTAATATAGGGTAAGAATTAAAAATAATTTAAAAGGTTAAATTATTACTATTAATATTATTTTTATTTTTATCTTTATTTTAAAATAAAATAAATTAAAAAGAAAAACCAAAAAAACTAAATATTTTTTTTATTTTCGGATAGGAATAAAATAATAGAAAAATTAAAAGTATGGAATAAAAAAAGTAAAAGTAAAAGTAGGTGAAAATTATTTAATAAAAAAGTAAAAGAAAGTGGAAAATTAAAAACATAAAAGTAAAAGAATGTGAAAATTTTAAAAATGAAAATTAAGAGAAATATGAAATTAAAAAATAAAAGTAAAGGTAGCTAAAAATTTTTAAAAAAATGAAAAAGAAAGTGGAAATTTAAAAACAAAAGTAAAATAAGTGGAAATTAAAAAAAGTAAAGTAAAAAAAGAGAAAAATTAAAAAAAGAAAATTAAAGGAAAGTGGGAAATTATTTTTTTTTTTAAAAAGAAGAAAATGGGAAGTGAAAATTCTTTTAATTAAAAAATAATTAAAAAAAATAAAAAAATCTAAAACAATTCCGAATTTTTTTTCTATAAATAGAATAGAAATGTGAGGAGAGAGGAGGGGAGTGAAGGAGAAAAATGAAGGGCGGAGGGAATTGAGAGAAATTATTTTTCTTCTTCTACGTATAGAGGAATTTCTACTCGTGTCATTCTTTCTTCGTCTTTCTTTCAAACAATCCAGCAAGTCATCACCCAAAACCCAACAAAAATATTTCATAACATCCCTTTTTACACGCCAAGAAGTGAAGTCAGTAGTCGAGGTCGAGGATTCCGTTGGAGCTCCGTTCACTAGGTTTGATGATATTCGTCGCTTATGCTTGTTCGACATTCGTCTAAGTTATTGTACCCGTTCTTGGAGACTCATTTAATTGAAAATTTTGCATTAAAGGTTTATTCTTTCCTCTGTTATTTTATCTTATTTCATGTGATTTTATTTATTTGCCTTTAAACTTTATAAATAATAATATAAATTAGTCCTTAAATGTTATATACCTAATCATGTTTCTAGAAATATGGTATTCAAACTTGCTTTAAAATTGGGAAGATTCGGACCGTAATAATCTTGGGCTTCAATTGTTGGATTGTAGGGTATTGGTATATGATGGTTTATTTATTCAAATATCTAAAATCATACACTTCTTCCACAAGTAATTCCATAATTCATGATCTTACAATAATCTCAAAAATATTGGAAGAATAATGAACACCGATAGAGTGCTTTAGGCACGCTTTTAATTAGTTTATCGCGATTATGTATATATTTGCGTGAAAAAATTGTGATCTCCAAAAATAAAACCGAAGTATGTGTTAACTTTGGCCAAAACAATCTTAATAATAAAATGCTATTAATTGTGTACACGTACGCGTGACAAGATTTTGGCACAATAAAGAAAACGGATTCACACACGTGATTCGTTTCAAAGATAATTCCATATTTTAGTAATTAAAAGCGGATAGATAAAATATGAAAATCAATAAATCACAGTTTATCCTAAATTAATTCAAGCCAAGTTTAAGTCAATAAAGCGACCGTGCTAGAACCACGGGACTCGGATAATGCCTTACACCTTCTCCCCAGTCAACAGAATTCCTTACCCGAACTTTGTTTTCGCAGACCTACAATAATAGAGTCAAACCTTCCTTTGACTAGGGATTCAAATAAAAGGTGACTTGGAACACCCAAAAATCAATTCCAAGTGGCGACTCTGTAAATAAAATAATCCCTACTCAAGTTTTGTCACTTTAATTGGAAAAACTCTTTAACCCACAACAATCCTTAACACACACATCTTTTTGGGGGGGTATAAAAGGAGTGTGACAGCCCTGGCGACTCTGCTGGGGACCTCAACTAGAATTCGAGCTTGTACATATTGACTTTTATTTGGCTTTATTAATTTTGTATATATTGTGATTTATTGGTGCCTAATGTGCTACTTCCCCGCTTTTTACCGCTTTGATATGGTTGAACTGTATATATAAATTGTCTTTTCACGCACCTCTCTGAGTCTTCTTGAAATTAATTGGGCATTTGCTTGACATAGCCCACTTTTTTTGAGATAGCCGAGGTGCTTGTCACCCGGTGAAGGATTTAAATCACACATATTTTAGGCGTGGAGCACCACCAACTAAGCCGGAAAGCAATGCTACCGGTACGCTGACCCTCCTCGGCTCGAGTTGTCCACTCGAATAAGCCATAATAGATACCTTCTCCATCAGGATTTAAACCTAGAAGAATAAACCTCATGCCGGATATTCCTAGTAGGTTCGTTTTATTTGCATCACGTGCATTTGACTTAGCAAGGGTCGGCACAGGAGTCGAGTTCTGTTTTAGGACAGGTACCTTGTTGAGACCACTATGTCATGCTATGTGCTATTTGTTGCATTATTTGGGAGGCTTGCATGTTGATCGACTTTAGCATAAATCAGTTGAATAAACAGAGAAAAAAAAATGATGTGGTCTAGTGTGAATTATTTTTAAAGATTAATTTTCATAAATAAAAAAAAAAAGAACATAGTCGGTTTTGACCGAACTACGCGGGTCTGATTCTCACTAGATGTGAGATACGTAGGCAAACCTTATCGGTTCTGGCCCCAATTTTCCAAAAATTCAAAAAATATTTTCCCTTTCCTTAATTCCTTCATTAGAAGTTTTTTCCTTAGAAAATCCAAAAAAAAAAAACTAAATCCAAAAATATTTTTCTTCTTTTCCAAAGTCTTTCATTCGAAAAAAAAAAGAAAAAAAAAATTTCAAATCAAAAATCCAAAATATTTTCTTTCTTATTTAGAATTATATATTTTTAAAATTCAAAATTTCATAAAAAGAAAAAACTCAAATAAAATAATATTTAAAAGTCTTTATTAAAAAAAATGGGTCAGTCTATTCCTGATCTTCCATGAACTACGTAATGATCTAATTCATGCGGCGTCATGATACGTAGACAATCCCCATCGGATTTGATCATAGCCATAAACAAATTGAGTGAAAAAATAAACCAGAAAAAAAAATTGAGTGAAAAAAAAGAAAAGAGTGAAAAAAAAATAACAAAGAAAAGTAAAGAACGAAAAACAACAAAAAGAGAAAGAAAAAAGAAATCAAGGTATGAAAAAAAATCAAAAAAGAAAA